CAATAAGAGCGCGTGTAGGGCTGCGTTGACCAATGGCCGAGCGTCACGACCCGAGCTAATCTACTCGTGGCTAGACGCAGCCCTACGCGTGCTCTCATTGGTCACTGTTTTTCGTTAATAATTAAAAAATCATGGCTTACTTTTCATTTTATCAAAGGAAATTATTATTCAGAAACACCTCCAGAATCACCCCTTTTCGGCTGTAACACTTTTTCTGGGACACCCTGTATACTTTAATTCTTCAATTGAATGATTTCCGTTAGCTCTGTCCTTGTTCAAGTATTTCCACGTTTTGGTCAATGTACAAAGGCGCCATGTGCAAGCGGTACGTGTCCCGTGGATTTCTCATTCTCGTCACGTACGTACGGTATTACGCGTACATTTTATTTGCGAAACGATACGAAAGAAGACGGCATGGCAAATATTTGACGATGATTATTAATCGATTATAACTCACGATCGCACGTATGTAATTGGGAAACATTTGAGGATCACGCGTTTAAACGCCGATTAAACGTTTAACAGGAAGAACAAACGGGATGTAAAAGCGTCGTAAAAATTGATTGCGGTCTCGAGGCGTGAAAGTGTAGAAATAATAATCACGGCCGGCGGGGCATACAATGCAACGGCCCACGCGGACGGAAAACGATTTCGACCGGGTTGAATCGCGACCAATCAAGAAACCATGCTATTACCTATTCTTTTCTCGTTTTAATCATCGTTTCACGCCTTCACACGAGTTCCACTTTCAAACACGCGTACCGCGTTTTTATCGCCTGGTCCGAAGCCAGAAGGAAAATTGGAGAACGGAGATTAGAATCTCCGACTTACTGTCCTTCCGATTATCAATGTTTTCTATGTATAAACCAATGTAATAGGGGAAATTATGTAAATTTAAGTGTCTTTTAATGTATTTTAATTCGTCTTTAAAACTCTTGACTCTTGTAAACCAAATTAGCCTAATTGAGTCAAGAGTTCTGTTTGGAATATTGAAGTGAGGGAAACCTCCTCGGTACGTTCCGTCCACGCAGCGTTTATAAAGAAATTCTGAGGAGCCTCTCTTTGTAGAATTGAATTAACAGTGTAAACGTGCAATCTTGTACAGCTAGTAACAATAAAACTGAGCCATTTCGAGCTTGTATTAGTTTCCCTTAAGGGGACAAAATTTAAAACGAGTAATAAGTCTTAAAATTGTGTTAAAGTCGAACAGTATCGATGCCACATCGAGTATTGAAAAATAAGATGAAGACTTATTACTCCTTTTGAATTTTGTCACTTTAGAGGAAATTAACACAAGCCTAAACTGGCTCAGTTTTATTGTTACTAGCTGTACGTAGGGCTGTTGGAATTGGGGGTTGAGGAATTCGAAACACTGAGTCGAAATTATTTTAGTAATTTATATAATAAATGTCTTGTGTTTCCAAAAAGATCGTACATTTTCGACTAATTACTAAATACGTTGAACTC